ACCTGAGATCCCGGGTGCAACAGCAACCCCCACCACGACAGGGCAGGAAGCACCTTTGGGCGCAGTGCCCCAGCACCGCAGCATCTCCTGGACATGTCAGTCCTCCCACAGAAACCGCATCCCATGGACTGCTCAGGGGTGCAGGGAAACACTGAGGAAGGGCACACACAAGAAACACAATGGTGCAGAAAGTACAAAGTATGGACCTTGAATGGCACTGGTAGTGGCTCAGCATTATGATATTAAAAATTATTCAAGTGAGACTAACACTCTCAACATACAGAGCAGTGGCTCTAAGCGAGGAAATTAGGACTATTAATCATTCCAAGGCGTTAACAATTCCAGCAGGCCAGGATGGCTCTGTTCCCAGTGGGGCTTAATAAAATACTCAGGGTTTATAATAATAAAATAATATCTCAAATGTCTGTAGCACCTTGCAACCCAGAGCAGTTGGCTGTAAATTGTCTGCCCGCAGAGAGCAGCGGACGGGAAGCGCAGCATCCTTGGGAAGTATGCAAGGAGCTGGAGGAGGCGAAACGCTGCCAGGCGCGATGGAATCCGCTTTTATCGGGGAGAGGCGGGGATGTTGGATCTGATCCTATCTGGTGGTGTCTCCAGTGCTGCCTGGGGCTTTCCAGCCTCCCACAGAATACAAATTTTGTGTTGACTCAGTGGGACGGAGGAGGACAGAAGCCAAGCGGGTCTGGCTCTCCATTGGTCTTTCAGGACTATCAGGACTTTCAGGACTTCTCACCCAGAAGGAGAGGCTGGAGCTGTCACCGTGGGCATGGCACTCAAGTGCACGTGAGGCTGGAAGAGCTACGGACACTGAGTGGAGAGGCACATGGCTGGAAACAACACCCTGGTGTGGTTTGGTCATGTCCAGAGCCCCCGAGCACTGCACAGCCCCACGCAGTGCGAGGCTGCCCCACACCTCCATACAGCGGTAACGAGACCGAGCCCGTCAGGCTCTGTCCAAATCCTTGAGCCAAAACCCCATCGGATGGGGTGTCAGAGCCGAGGCTTCTGCCCCCGTCAAGGCCCAGCTTCAGGTTAGAGGAGCATTCCTAGCAGTGCCTAGTGTAACTTTCCAGTATAACCAGTGTATCTAGTATGACTTTGCAGTGTAACTTCTCCAGTATAACCTTCATTAGAAACTGAATTAGCACACTGACATACCTCTCCACACCACCTCAGCACTACAGAAAAGTGACAAACATGGGCAAGTTCCGATTCCACTGAATTTTACCCATTCCCATGAAACACATCCCTTTCTTCAAAACCTCATTTTCCAAGAGACATTTTCCACCCAGTATCTCCTGCTGAGCCTGGATCCCTGGCACGGCCCCAGCTGAGCCTCTTCTGTCTCAGATCTCTCCGGATCACCACGGTGTGAGCTGCAAAGCCAGGATGCGCAGCCAGCGCTGGAGGAGAGCATCCCAGCAATTTGGGGAGCCATACCCAGAGCACCCCACACCGGCACACCATGGTGAAGGACAATACCACACAACGAGGCAGGAGGAGGTGCGGAGCTTTCCCCAGCCACCACAGCACCCGCAGCAGCCGGTGTTTCCTTGCAACACTCGCCCCAGCCCTGTGGGGAGCAGGGCTTTGCCTCCACCGTGCTGACTTACTGGCTCCTGGAGAAACAGCACCAGGCGCACACCAGGGCCTTGCTGCCATCGCCTCTTTGAGGCTGGGGAGCTGCGCCCAGGAACCACTGGGTCAGCCAGTAGAGACCTAGAAATTAAACAAAATTACTGCCAACAGCTCCGAGTTACAAGAAGAACCTGGAGGTGCCCCAGGTCTGTGTTGCAGGGGGCTGGTTATTTTTAATGAAACTGAATTCCCCTTTGCAGCATCCGCCTGCATTGGTCCCTAGCGTCAGAGAGAACTGGAGCGGGCTCCTTTCTCCAGCAGCAGGAGTTCCTGTCTGCCTCAGGCTCTGGCCGTGCTCCTCATCTCCCCACTGCTGCACTGGGGTATGGTGCCTTTCCCAAGTCTTGGGGTCTTTGCTATTAAAGAGCTCAGTAACTGGGAGCTGCAGACACAGCATCGGTGCCAAAAGCACCATTTATTGATCCAGAAACAGATTCCAGCCCAGCTGAGGAGGAGGAGGAGGCAGCGTGCTGGCGTCTGACCCTCGGGACAGGGTGCAGCAGATCCTGGGGACTCACAGCCCCCATGCAGCTGCAGAGACCCCTCCTCACTGCGGGGAGTGAGAGCACCCATGGGCAGGAGAGCTCTGGGGTGTTCAGGCTTTCACCAGCATGGTCTGAGCCGGGGCAGAGGCCTGGCGCGTCCACACGGGTCTGTGGGAGCCCCCAAGGGGTCTGTGGGACCCTTGAGGGGTCTGTGGGTCCTTTGGGAGCCAGGCAGGCTCCAGTGGGAAGCACAGGAGCAGGACACGCGGAGCCCAGAAACGAGCTGTGGAAGGGGGTTAGCACAGAGCGCGCTGCCAAGTAAATACATGCGTCTGCCTCCGATTTGCATGTTTATCTTAGAAGCAATTTAGGTTTCTGCTTGTTTACAAGAGCCGCAGTCAGCAGGCTCTTAGGACAAGCAAAACAACAGGGAGCCAACATGTGGCCGTCGTCTCCTGCTTCCCGCGCGTCGCGGCGGCCGGCGCTCCCGGGCTGTTGGGAAAGAGCGGAGGCAGCTGCACGTGGCCCTGCAAGGGCTCTGCTGCAGCGAGGAGGAGGAGGAGGAGGATGAGGAGGACTCACAGGGAGCAGGGATGCAGGCCAGTGGGGCGCAAGGGTTGCTTTACCTGAAGGCACTTGCCTTTGTGCCATGGAGTCTCTGCTGCTGTAGGAGCTGCTCTGCAGCCACTGCATGGGCATCCATAGCCTCCTGTGATGCGATGGGGATCGTTATCCCCATATGCACTTAATTATTAACTCCCTCTATCGCTGCCTCTGCTCCTGCCCATGCGGAGGTCCAGGCCTCAGCCCCAGTTCCCTCTTGCTTCCCCAGGATCACAGCATGTCACAGAAATTTGCCACTTCCAGCACAGCTTCAGTTTTAAAAATGAAGTTCTGGTAAGGCAGCTGGGGACCTCTCAGAACATCCCATGTCTTTCCTGTTTCAGTGTTTTCAAAATGTCACAGATTTTTAGAAATAAAAGTGGAAGGGATGCTTTAATCAGTCCAAAACAAATGTTTGGGTTTTTTTCCCTCCCAAAATTCTGCTTGGCAGAATTTTCTGATGTTCGCGGTCTCGCTCCATTTCAGAGCAGCTGAGCCCAACCGGAACATTTCTCACGAAATGGCAGATCTGGGTCTCACCAAGGGACCTGTAGCCTTTCCCAGGCACATTGGGGTTTATCCCTCCTTGTGCCGCTTCCCAGCACACAGCTGTGGTGGGTTGGGTTTGGGTTCCTGCCCCCAGCCAAGGGCACTGCAGCAAATGCCTCTGGTGTGTGGGCATGAGCAGAGGGAGACACCAGTGCCCTGCTCTGCTCCAGTTTCTTCTGCTGATAACGCTCACTCTGATCTGGGTATTTGGCAGGAGAATTAAGGAGCAATAATTAGCTCAGGGTGTGAAAAAGGGAGTGCCTGGCACTTATCTTGTCTGGGTTTTCCTTGCTCTGGGGTGGTCAGGGCTTTTTCTGCTGCTTTCCTGGTGTGAGGCAGCCCCGCTTCCAGCCCACCACCACCCAGGACCAGTGCCACCAGTGCGGGACAGGGGATGGGGTCCCCACTCGGGTGGTCCATCAAAGAACGTTTTACCTTTTCCAGCTTTCCCAGCATCTCCTTCCTCCAGGGAAGAGGAACTTTGGCCACCACTGCCCCCAGCAGCCCTATCCCAGCTCTGGACAGCACAGACAGGGACACGTTGGCCATCCCCACCCTTGCTGGGACCGGGCAAGTGGGCAGAGGGGATTTGTGGCCACAGTCCCCACGGGATCCCCGCAGCCCCACTCCGGACCGTGGGCTGTGCCACATGCGGCTGGAGGGATGCTCCTGCACCCATCTCACCACGGGAAGGAACGGGCTGCTCCCACAGCCCGGCACAGCATAGCCATTAAACACCTGCAGCCAGCGTTGCTCGATGAGCTCCTGTTGGCTTTTCTTTCCCAAACAGCTCCCACCATCTCCTCGCCCCACGGCTGTGGGATGAAAGGCTGGCGAGGGAGCCTGTGAAAATAGCGTTCGTGGGCCCTCGGCATTGGGGCTTGCAGAGCCACAGGGATCCAGCTTCATTATCCTCAGCCCCAGCCTGGGATGACCTCGTGCCTCTGCCAGCATTTAAACAAAACATTTTAAAAGAGGGAACAGATCCCGTTGCTTTCCGTGCTCCCAGGGCTTTCCTGCGCCCGCGAGCTCTCTGGGGCTGATGGGAGTGATAGAGCATGGCCAGAGAGACACAATGAAATATTGCCCAAGCTCATTGCTTTTTATTATTATTAAAGGGAGGTTCTCGCTTCCAGTCTGGGGGGGGTTGAAAAATTTGAATCCCACCCAAACCTCATCCCTTCCAGCAGAATCGCAGCTCCGTGCTCCGTGGCAAACACCAGCAACCGCTGCCTGGCTGGGGTGGCTGGGATGGAAAATTCCACGTTGCCGGGGCTGGTGCGGGGCTGCGGGATGAGAGACACAGCATCATCCTGGTGATGAACACAAGTGCTCCCCAGTGCAAGAGATGTGTGGGGAGGACTGAACGGTGGGGGATAACAGTGTGAACAAGGTGACCATCGCATCGGTGGTGCCTGTGCCACGGACCCTCATCCCCACTGTGTGCCCCAGCAGCGTGAGGCCAGCAGGCACAGCAAAGCCTGCACTGGGCTCAACTGGGAGGGCCGTGCTGCTGGGCAGGAGCTGGGAGGGAAGTTTCACCCATCAGCGAGTTCCTCTGCTGCCTGTGCTCTTGGGGACATGAGCCCCATGGCTTGCAGCACCCATGGCTGCAAGATGGGCTTCAGTATGAGCCCCCCGTGAGGAGGCTGAGGACGTGGGGAGTCAGACCCCACACGCAAGGCAGTGTGGTAACGCAGCCCCATTCTCTCCCGCAGGTACATCGGGGCGCTGGGCGCGAGGGTGATCTGCGACAACATCCCCGGGCTGGTGAACAAGCAGCGGCAGCTGTGCCAGCGCTACCCCGACATCATGCAGTCGGTCGGGGAGGGAGCCAAGGAGTGGATCCGGGAGTGCCAGCACCAGTTCCGGCACCACCGCTGGAACTGCAGCACCCTGGACCGCGACCACACCGTCTTCGGCCGGGTGATGCTGCGAAGTAGGTCCTGCCCCATCCCCTCCCCACCGCTGCGGCTCCCTGGGGGTCTCTGGGCTCACCGTGCCCCATTGCTTGGGTTGCCCCCCAGGGAGAGCTTTGCCTTTCCCGGTAAATTAATCAAGCCGTAATGGGAGCGGAGCCCCACGTTGGGAATAGCTGCAGCAGATGAGATGGAGCAGGGGGAGCACTGGGGGAGAAGGGGGAAGGAGGAGACACCTCTGGAGAACAGGCTCGTATGTAAACAGTAATGGGATATATAAATATTTGGAGAGCAGGGTTGGCCAGGACTCAGCCGTTCACGTGGGAACAGGCTGTTCCCCTGCATGGCTGGGCAAAGCCGCAGCTCCAGTCCCCGCTTTGGGCTCCGAGGTGGAGGAGGACACGGCCACGGGGCAGGCACCGGCCCTGCACAGCGGTGAGGTGAGGGATGGACAGCAGAGGGGTGCACCCAGGGAAGCAGGAAAGGCCCCATGGGGATGGGGATAGCCCCAGAACAGGAGCAGCATCGTGGGCTCCAGGCATCCCTGGCGCTGGGGGACAGATGCTGCTGCACCCCATTACGTGCTCGGGTGCATCAGCCACACGGCCTCTGAATCAAAGGCGGCTGTGAAGAGCCTTTGCACTCACCGGGAGCGGCTCATATGGAGCGGGGCTCGTTCCCAGCTGGGCTGGGATGCAGCAGCTGCCCAGGGGGAGGATGAGCAGTGCCTGCAAGCCAGACCCTGGGGAGGCGCTGGAGAGAAGGGGCTGTGAGCACCACGGGCTGTGAGCACCCGGGGCTGTGAGAGCA